CCAGGCCAGACTTCCATCCAGCTTCCCATCCCTGAGGTGGCTCAAGCCCAGCGTCTGGGGAAGCTTCTCCTTCTGGACTACAACACCCAGACTCCCCAGCCAGCAGGTTGTCCGGAGGAGGGGCTTTGCCTGCCCAGTCCCTCAGCAATGCTTATTAATTCCTTCTCAGACCAGTTCAGCTTTCACTAAACTGGTAGCAGCAGGATGCGTTTTAAAAAGCTGCTCGGAAACCTTTAGTTTGCAGGTCTGGCCGATGTGTCAATATCAGAAGATATTCCCGTGGAAGGAGAAATTACCGTTCCCGTTGGATCCCGTTCTCCCGATGAAGACTACTCCACCCTTGATGAGCCTGTTAAAGATACAATTGTAAGTATGTTGACAAAAATCAACGTTTGCTAGAGTGTCTTAAAACTCCGGTTAACTTCTAGATTTGTTTGTGATTATGTGAGCTTTTGTGGCGAGTTAAGCTAAATGCCATGGCTTCCTTACATAGAGATGTGTTTCCGTGTTATTCGTTCCAAAAAAAGCATAATCCTCTCCAGTGTCTTTCTTAGTCAACACTTTCTGTATGAGCAAGGGTGGCAAAATGGGAGTGCTAAAGAACCTCTCCTGCTTTCCCAAGGCTGATGGTATTTGGGATGGGGCGGGAGAATTGACGTCCCAGAAGATTCCTGTGAGAAGCTTCCTGGGCTGATGTGGTGTTGTGTGGAGACCAAAATGCCTTTAGTAGTGACCCTTTCTGTCAAGTGGTTCTGTAGCTGATGAAACGTATTTTTGCTTCCATTTATTTAAAATATTCAAATTTTAATTAATTTACTTAAAACAGTGCACTTCTTAGAATAAAAGCCCCCCTCCTCGCCCACCTCGGCATGGCAGTTTACCTAATCAAAAGTCATGTGTAGTACAATAACAGATACCCAGCCTAAGCAAGAAGTCATAATTGAGAAAGATCTGAGGAAGCAGGTGAGTTTTCATGGCTTGCCTCAAAGAGTTGCAGAGAGGTGGCCTGACCAGCCAGAGTTGGCAGCCCATTTCAGAGCTGGAGGAGCAGCACAGAGCAGGCTGGTGGATTAAGCAGGAGAGGGCCTCCATCATTGATCTTCACCATGCAGGAAGCGTTATAGTGATGGAGGCAGCCCTTCGTTTAACATGGTCCCAAACCATTTAAGGCTTTAACGGTTAAAGCTGAAGTTTTGATGTGCATCAGTGACAAATGCAAGTTGGTTTCCTATCGGCATATTCTGGTCTGATCACCTTTTCTGCATCCTGCATTTACTGAATTTTCTGAACCATTTCTGGAGGTGGTCTTGTGGATCTGTGTTGAAGTAATCCAGCCAGAATAACACTCATGGATGGATGGCCATGGTAAATGTGGAATGGGCCTTCTCTCAATGTTCTTTGATTGAAAGCTTCCTTTCAGAGTAGTAAAGTAGCTCATCTCTTCAACTGTTTCAGATGCGAGATCTCAAAGCTGTCGGGAAGAAATTTGTCCACGTCATGTATCCCAAAAAAAGCAGCAGCCTTCTGAGAGACTGTGAGTACCAAGGTTTCTTCAAAGCCTTGAAACCTGAAACCTTTTGACCTTCCTTATTCAGTTGTTCGGAAGTGTCAGTGTTCCAGCATAGAACAGGTTAGGAGGAAGGCTGGAGAGAAGACCTTTGAGTGAAGCATTGGGTGAGCTCTATTCAGAATTGAGAGTGGAATGCAGCGCGGAGGGAATGGCGCTTAGCCCTTAGTGTATGGCAAGAAAGAAAAGCCTTATGGGAGACTCAAATATGGCCGGAGGAAAAGATCCTGTTGTGAGTGATCTTCCTGCAGGAAACTCTCATCACTCCCACGTTGTTTTTCTGCTTTTTTGCAGGGGATCTATGGGGACCTTTGATCCTGTGTGTTTTGCTTGCACTGTAAGTATTTGTACGGCCTCTGCTTTACATGCACACACACTTCTATTTCATTGGGGGCAATGAAAAACTTTGGTAGCAGCAACAAAAATAATGTTGAAGTCCAAAGTCTGAGAGAAGTAACTGCAACGTTGTAGGTGGTTGAGGACCAATGAAGGTCTATAACAGAAAAAAAAAACCCTATGTCTTTAATCTTCCAGTGTATAATATAGGCCTGAGACAATGTTTTGATTCACAACTCATGAAACACTTTGTTTGCTAATGACAGAGTTGCAGTAGGATCGACCTTGTTCTTATTTTCCAACTCTTGGGATTCTTGTGTACCTCACCATGTCTGGTATTGGCCAGTATTAGGGAGGTGGCTCAGTTAGTGCTCTGGGTGCAAAGGAAACTTTCTCCCTTCCTCTTTCCTTCCTTATTTGTCCCATTTATCGGCCACATGTCTCCTGATAATGAGACTCAAGATGGCTCATAGTGTTAAGAAAGTAAAATTAAAACAACAATAATCTCAAAACAGTGATTTCATTGGAAAGAGAAGAAATGTACAGTATATACCTGCTCTTTAATTCTGATTCAGCGATCATTGTCCCTCCTTCCCCTCCCCGCTTCTTTAGCATGCTTCAGGGAGGTGCAGCGGACAGTGACCAAGACAGAGGCCCCCAGTTTGCAGAAGTCTTCGTCATCGTTTGGTTCGGGGCGGTTGTCATCACGCTAAACTCCAAGCTACTGGGAGGAACCATGTGAGTGGGTTGGGGAGAGTTGGCTGTACGCATGTCCTTGAGCTGGCACAGGCCTTCAGTTCTCTCAGCCTGTTCAAAAAAACATAGATTGATATAGTTTAACGTCCTTGAGCTGGCCCAGGCCTTCAGTTCTGAAGTGTTCTATCTCTCAGCCTGTTCAAAAAACATAGATTGATATAGTTTAGTTCTGTTGCTGGGGGGGGGGGAGGAAAGGTCCCCCCTCAGCTGGACAGATTGCCACTGCAGGTGGTGGTGAGACACTATCTGCAATGAGAAGCTTCTTTTTCATAGGCTGGCATAACAGAGATGAAGCTTGGTGGTGTCCACTCCGTAGTGCAAAACCTTAAACCATAGCGCAGAACAGAACAGATTTCTGGGGAAGGCAGGTGGCCTCTAAAAATCTAGGAACTGCTTATGCTAGTCTGAGTATGACTGTGTCTCTCCCTCTCCACCTTGTTTAGAATTTAATGTCTCTTCTCCCCACCCACCCCCCGGCAACAACCCCAGATCTTTCTTTCAGAGCTTGTGTGTGCTGGGCTACTGTATCCTGCCATTGACGGTGGCGCTCCTGGTCTGCAGGCTTGTGCTCATGGCAGGTGTTGGCACAGCTGGCTTCATTGTGCGCCTGTTAGTTGTCACAGCCATGTTTGGCTGGTCAACGTTAGGTAAGTGTGAGGCAGAGCGCCGTTTTGAACTTCCCTGCTTGATCCCATTTGAAATTTGGCTGGGCTCCTCCACGAAAGCCAGGCTCTGGATCATGGCCAGCATGTGTTTTCACGGAGAGAGAGAGTGCCTGGCAACCTGAAGGTTTCTGTATAAAGCCAGCAAGTGGGGAAGATGAGTTCGTTGGCCAGAATCACATTTCAAACAGCTTTCTAGGGGCTTTTAAAAAAAAATTTGGCTTGTTCAGATGTGTAAGGGTGTTGATGCTAACAGAATGAAATCCCAAGGCAGGAGGCCCTCCATGTTTTAGGGCAGCTAATGTTCTCTGTGGTTACTTTTTCAATTGTCTGAAATCAGGAGGGGTGGAGGTGTAACTGACACGTTTCCATTCTGGCTGAGTGCAAGGGCTCAGGATGATTTTTGTAGGGCTGCTTTTGAGTGGCAGCTTGGATCGGTTCCTTAAAAGCGCTGAACATATGTTGAGGAAATTCACTTAAGTGATGATTTTTTAAAGTTATATCTTCGTGGGATGAGAGCTCAAAGTTGATCATCTTTACCTTTTTACACATATTTTGTGTGTTTTTAAAAATATGTTAGCTATTTCCTCTGCTGTTTTAGCTTTCTCGCCCTGACTTGATGCCACCGCCATGCTTACAGTAACTTTTACACTTTTATGTGTTTTTTAATCAAAATACATAGATATTAGTTGCCAATAGAAATATACAGTATAGGTTATGCTTTATCATTAAAATTTACGTGGAATAATGTACGTCCATCATCAGAGAAAAGTGATCTCACTTGGTAATGATGCCTTGACTTCAGAGTTGCAGAGTTACCATCTTAACCGCGGCTTACTTCCTGCTTTAAGGTTTGTCTTCAGAGGGACTGTGTCTCAAACATGCCTACTCTGGTTTTTTTTTCCCTCTCTCTCTCTCCAGCATCCACAGCTTTCCTGGTAGACAGCCAACCCCCCAACCGCAAAGCCCTCGTCGTCTATCCCATCTTCCTTTTCTATTTCGTGATCAGCTGGATGATCCTCACCTTCACAGAGTAGGAATGTAGGATCCAGCAAAGACTGCAGCACCAAACGAAGGTGGCTTGTCCATGTCTTTTGTTTTGTAGACGTCTCTCCCTCTCAGTAGTTGTCGTCTTCACCCGTGTTGTTGTCAATTTATCTTGCCTGTATTTATAGTTGGGTTGTGAAGGGGTGAAGAGATGAGTAGGCCAAGGCCAGGTTGTGAGCAGAGAGCCCTGTCGCTGTTGCGGGAGCCCGGCTGATCCTTGCCTGCTTTTATTTGCTTCTGCTGCTCTTGTAAATGTGCACTGTGGCCCGGCTGGTTTGAAGAATGGGGACGATGGAGGACAAGTGTCCCAAAACCTTGAGTTGTCACTAGGACTGTTGATGGAAGAAGACCTCAGAGGCCCAAAGTCACCAGGGCTCCTTGGTGTTTACATTCTGAATATCTGTGGACTTTGGACAGGAGGTGATTTCAGTCGGACAGCTGAAGTCAGAAGTTGGATCAAGAGCCTTCTGGGTTTTCTGTGGCTTTTTTTAACCCACTCTAAAGTCTACGTCTAAACAAGAAGTGAGCGCAGCCTGCTTCATAACCAGCTTGCCATACCAGAAAAGCTTGCCACACCAGAAAACCTAAATTCAGTACGGGCCTGATGCGTCCGCCATGCTTGGAGCATTGAAGATCTGCAGGGAGCTTTACGTTGGCCAACTAGATTGATCTACTTGAAGGGATTTGTGGTTCTGCAGAGGAAGACCTGTCCACTTGGGCTGCTTCTCGGTTCTCCTCGCTGATCCGGATCCAGAGTGTGAAGTCACTGGAAAGGCTTCAGTTAAACGGGATCTCCTAACTGACGTTTGGCCCAGAAGGCTTCTCTCCTGCAAAGCGCAGAAAATAAAGAGCTCAGATGTTTGCTCCTGGAGAAGAAGCAGACTCTGCTCACTTTTATGTGTGAATCTTTATGCAGAATTTCCAGTCTGCTCCGTCATCTTGATTGTGTTCGTTTGACCCAAAGATAGGGAAGCCAGCCACTGGGGAATTAATTGTAATGTAGTTGAGAGCAGGCTTCATTGTTCTTAGATGGCAGCTGGGCCTTTAGGAAGCGACCCTCAGAAATGGGCTAACGAGCAGGAGTTTGGCGGCTCCCCTGCACAAAAAAATCTGGGATGCTTGACTGCCCCTTCCCTCCCCCTCCCCCACACCCGCATGGAGCAAATCCTGTTGTTAACAAAAGATCCTGCCCTAACAGCCACTCTGGGAACCAGAAAAATCTTAATCAATTTCCCATTGGTATCGGGAGTTCCTTTTACAACACAGAGAGATGTTCTCTCCTGGAGTCGGTGGGACAAGAATAATCCCAAGAGGAGCCTTTCCAGGAAAACAGCCTGTCCTGTCTTAAATGTCAAATGATGTCCGACTTCAGCTTTGCACTTTTAAATTGGCGCCTCTTGTACAAATGTGCTGATATTTCAGCCCAGGCGGTGAAATTTAAAATAAACTTGTTTTAAGGATTTGAAAAAGCTGAAAACATCAGCCGATTAGTCATGAGCTGGGGTGGGGGTGGCGGTAATACTTTTTTTTACTGTGATTAGGACTTCTCCTCGTTTTTAGGAACACCTATCCTTCCATTACGGTAAGAGACACTGAGCAGAGTTCCTGCTCCTTTTTTCTGGGGGTAGGGTTTTGCTAGACCTCTTCTTGTCTTAGAATGAATCTACATGTTCATTCTGCCTATAATTTGCCCTACACTTGAATTCCAAACTCCAGACAGAGGCATGGTTTAAACTTATTAGAGTGTTAAGAAACAGTCTGCTTTGCAGAGCCATCCAGCTGGACTTTGCATTCTTGGCAGCGTCTCCGGAATTGGCAAAATAGGTTCCCTGTAAGAAGGTCGGCAGCCCAGGCCAAGGAAGGCTGGGTTGTTTAAACAACAGGACACCTCCTTTCTGAACTCCGGGACGGAGGTGTCCTCGATCATTTTCTGCCTGGAGTTTACTGAACTCTTTTGCCTCTCGAGGCATCTGAGGTGTGGTGGAAACTGGTGTTTGCTCTCATCCAGGGAATCCTGCTGATGTTTAATGTGAATCTCTCCCTGGCTTCTGAGGCTTGAGTTACTCTATTTAGGGTTTAGTTTGACTTGTGGCTGCTGCTTCTCTCCTGTAACAGCTGAGATGGGCAGATATACAAGCTTCTGCAAACGGGTAAGGAGACGGCCTTAAATCGATTCGGACCTGAATGCAGACTTCCTCACTGGGCTGGAATAATTTTTCTGTTTCCTGATTTTGAGAATCAAGATCAGAAAGGTTGCAGAGATTGTGCAATGCTTCCTCTCTTTCTCTTTTTCTCTGTCTCTGTGGCCAGGAGGAGTTATAACTTGGCCAGGAAGAGACAACTCAGCCTATGTGTAATGACACAGAGTTGATGCTGAACCCTCAGAGATGTTGAAGTTAGCATGACCTAATTTTTAAATTTCCGGACCAACCTGGTTTCCAAATCCCTGCATCCCTTTTGACACCCAAAAGATGGGTTCCCTTTATTTGCAGTTCCATGTGGATTCCGATTTGTAAAATGTTCAGATCGCAGTTTAAGTGATGGTGTGGGAATCGGTTTGCTAAATTTGAGTTTCGGCTTTGTTGTATGTTTTCTTTTAGCTTTGCCTCCTCTTCAGAAGGGTGTGTGTGTGTGGGAATGTGTGGCAAACGTCTAAGAACAGTGTCTGAGGACAGACTGATACAGGATATAAACCTGAGGGCATGCGGACGGTCACTCTTCCATCAGGAGGTGAAATCCTGCCTAGAAAGTTTACTGCAGTTCAGAGCATTTATGTTTTCTTGCCTTAATAAAGCTGAGAGACATTCTTATCCCAAAACAACACTAAATGTACCCGATTAAACTGTATTTACTTCCAGTTGCTCCTGATTCCCTGGCAGCAGCAGTGGGAACCACCTTTGTGAATCTTAATACACTGTATTGAGATTTATCTTGTGCAGATCTCCTTTAGCTAGAGTGCGTGTTTGGGATGGGGGATTGCAATATGTAAATAATTTAATTGCAGATCTTTTGTAAATAAAATGCTGAAAGAGGCGTGTGGAGTTATTATCATGTAGCACATCTACTTCCTGTGTTTTCTATAAGGTACCTTTTGCAGATAAATATTTAAAGCGCTCTCGCTGCCTCAGATTTGGCTTGCTTTTAGGGGTGCCCACTTCATAGAACGGGCAGATTTATTGAATTATAGGAGATAACTGGTCAAATGGAATAATGAACTTCCAGTCACAGGTTGAGGCTCCTGTTGGTCTTGCTGGTGAACAGGGAGCAGATACGTTGTTGCCAGTGTGGCCTGAACTTTTTAAAAAAGAAATTGAGGCAGTTTTCTTTTTTGGGGGGCCTCCAAAAAGGTGTAGGAAAGCACCTGCACTTTTGCTGAGGTGTTGACCTCAGTGTTGTCCCTGTAGAGGCATAGAAGGCGCAGCATCACTCCTTCCATGATCCACGGGTTGTCTTCCAGCTCTGCCGTTCTAAAATGATGATGATGATGATGGCAATAGGAAGTATGGGCTGCTCCGGGCAGAAGCTACTCTTGAAGACGGAGCATGCTGCTGTGAGCATTCCAACCACCTCCAACCACTAGGTGGTGCAGATTAGCTTCGCTCGCCCTTCCTGCCTGCCCTGACAGCCAAAACGGCATCTCCGGCTTTGCTGATGCAGAAACTGCCACGTCACTCTGGGCATCCGCTGGGAGCTGACTCGGGAGGGAGTGACGTGTATCTCGGCCAAGGCGGCATCCAGAGCCCTGAGCTTCAACCAGCCTGTTTTGCTTCCAGAGCGGAGAGTGCCAGCTCTCGCTGTGCCTTTTTGCAAAAGACCCCAGGGGTGGAAACTGCTCACACCCCAGATCTTTTTCGCTCGATCCGTGTTCGGGCAGTCCTTCTTGTTAGTTAGTCCAGCTATAGACTTTGAAGGCCAAAGCACCCAAGTACCTTTTATTCCCTTTTGCATCCTCCTGGATTGCCATTTTTCATCATTATTATTATTGTTGGAAGCTTGCTCACTTCTGTAACATTTTGGCAGACTCTAAGGATGGGATTATGAGAAGAGAAGACTCCCTAGAAAAGACCCTGATGTTGGGAAAGCGTGAAGGGAGGGGAGAAGGGGACAACAGAGGACAAGACGGTTGGACAGGATCACTGAAGCCACCAACATGGATTTGACCCAACTCCGGGAGGCCGTGGGAGACAGGAGGGCCTGGCGTGCTCTGGTCCAGGGGGTCATGAAGAGTCAGACACGACTAAACAACAACAACAAAAGGATGGTCCTTGTCCAGCTCTGGCCCTAAGAGGTGATTTTTCTATGAGTCCTCTTTGGAGCGCTTGAGTGGCCCCGTTGTGCCCAAAACAGGGACTGAGACAAATGAAGTGGCCAGTGAAAGAGAGCAGAGGCACAGCAGCCCTCACCCCAAAAAGGCTGCCTCCTCAGGGAAAAGTTTGTAGCGCTGGGAACTTCCGGTGGCCGTTCAGTCACAGCACATGGGGAAAGTGCACCGAGTCCCATATCCTGCTGGCCGTGAAATTGGAGAAGCCAGGGGACGGCTGAGATTTACAGTGGCAGAGAGACATGGTGCGGCATGCATTGTGGCCGCACGGGGTCAGTGTGCTTCCACGATACGCCACCTTATTGGCTTTGATGCTGGGGAAGCCACAGGAACTGTGGGGTCTTTCCTCTGTAAGAAGAGTCAGGATAGAGACAGCCCAGAGCAGCTTTTGTACAATGAAGGATGTAACATCTGATCAAAAAATAAATAAATCCAGAGATGGTGTTGAGAATGCCCATTGCACAATGCTATGTGTTCTTGGTTCGGCTGACATGGAATCATAGGTTTTTACAACCTTTTGCTGCTATTAAAAAAGGGTGGAAGTATTTGAAATGTGAATTTATCACAAGATCCTAAGAATTTCTTGCGTCAAGAGGGTCACCAGTAAAGCAGTATTAAGGTGAATGAATGAAGACCAAGAAATTGCAAAACAGACAAAACGCTGAAAGCTAGGGCGTTGCAAGAGCATAAGAAAAAATGGGAGAAAGTACAGGCACCAGTTTCACTCGGGTTGCTCTTCCCCCTCCCCCCAGGGTGGATGGCACGTTAACAAAGATAGGCCACTCATCTAAAGGAGGAAGGAAGTAGCAAGGCTGATGGCCCAGTTAGCACTGGTTTTGCAAGCAGACAGTTCCAAAATGCTGAAAGCATGGGCATTGCAAAAGCATAAGAAAAAATGTAGGAAAGTACAGGCACCAGTTTCACTCAGGTTGCTCTCCTGACCCCCCCAGGGCGGATGGCACGTTAACAAAGATAGGCCACTCATCTAAAGGAGGAAGGAAGTAGCAAGGCTGATGGCCCAGTTAGCACTGGTTTTGCAAGCAGACAGTTCTGTTGTTGAAGTTCAGAAGGCAAGAGTTGAAGGAGCTGAGTTTTAATTCGGAGATGAGAAGATGGGGGGGGGGCAATATGAGAGCCCTCTGCAACTGTCGGAAGGATGGCTGGATGGACGGACAGATGGTCACATGGGAAATGGAGCATGCTTGTTTATTCCAGCTTTGGAAGGGGGGTGGTCCTGAATTAAATCAGGCTCAAATGACAAGGAAGCAGACTCTAGCTGAACTGAATGAAGACCTTCCTGGTGGGACAGTGGAGGGAATGGCCTCCGAAGGCAGGAGCCTCTCCTTCACTGGACATTTGAAAACCAAGGTTAGATGGTTTGGCTTCTGTTGGTTTTGAGGGGCGCTTGAACTGTCGGTGCCTGCATGGAGAGGGGAAAAGGCTCCATGTACTTTGGAGTCCCTGCTGGCTTTACAATTCTAAGACTTTAAAAAAAAGTGGCGGTCTGTGTTTCTTCCCTGTGACCACCACCTTCCTGGCATTGGAAACAAGCATCAGTTCCAGGTGTCGCGGAGGCTGCTGGTTCCTTGCGAGACAAAGCTGGAAAAATGAAGGAATTGTGCACCCATTGCTTGTGCACCAAAACCTGTGACATCCAACTTTTTGTGGTGTAGGTGCGCTGAGGATTTTTGTGTGCGCGCTGCTCGGTTTTAAGGTCACACACAGATCGGGGCTTTCCAGACAGGCTTCAGCCGGGAATGACAGGAGGTGCCTCACGGCCCGCTCTTGGCTTCTTCCTCCGCCCTCTGCTGTTCTTGTGACTGGCAGAGACCAGGGGAGATTGTAAATAAACACCAGCCTTCCAACGAACATTCCCACACACACACACACACCGCCCATCATCACCCACTGGAGAAGCGCCACCTTTCCTGCCATGTGGAGTATGTGAAACAGGGTTGGGGGCAGGCAGGGGGAGAGGGAGACTGTGATAATCGCACTGGGTTATTTTTTGCCGTACACACCTCTCTTGTCTCTCACACAGCTGTGGAAAGTGGAAGCAGCCTATTCCGTTCGTAGGCCATGCCTACTGAGAGAAAAAAAGTGTTCAAGCCCCAATTGAAGTCTGCTGGACTGATACAGACATCCACAGCACCAAAAATGCCATCAATAGCGTACGTTTTTAAAACATATTCCATGCAGGTGACTTGGCTGCCATCGTTTTTTTTGGAAAGTAAGACAAAAAGGAGCAAGGTGCTGGGCTTCGGCCGACTGGGGGATTATTCTTCCCTGACACTCAGTACTGGTGGTAGTTCTGTGCCATTGAGCCTCTTCCAGTTTATGGTGGCCTTCTGGGTGAACAATCTCTGAGAAGTCTTGTCCCTCGCTGCCTTGCTCAGGTCCTGCAGATGTGAGGCCGTGGCTTCCTTCTCCTGAGTCGATCCATTGCATCTTTGGCCTTCCTCCTTTCCTCCTGCCTTCTACTTTTCTCAGGGTGATTAATATCACCTCCTCCAACATGTTTCGCCTTCTCATGATGTGCCCACAGTATGACAGCCTCGGTCTCATCCTTTGGGCCGTGTCCTGCTTTAGACTGTGATTTCCACGATCTGCTTTAAAGATCAGAGCCCAAACCTTATTAAGCAGTCTCAGCAAGAAGAGCGACTGTAAGTTCGAAATCTCACGAGTTGCCAGGCCTAATGTCTGCATCTCAGAAAAGCTTTACTCCTTCTTGTCTTGGGCTGGTGGGAAGGTCAGTGCAGGAATTTTCTGTTAATATTTAACTGGCCTGGCAAGCAGAGGGCGGAGGCTGCTTAAGGAACTGCCAGCCCTGCTTTCCGAGAGGAGCTCTTACCAGAATTGGGCTTCCCCTTGCCGAAGGAATCCCGCCTTGGGGCAGGAGCCCAATTCTGGTAAGAACTCCTCTCGGAAAGCAGGGCTGGCAGTCCCTTAAGCGGCATCCGGCATGGTGAGGCATCTGCAGAAGGTTGCCGGCGAGGGTGGTTTCTACCAGCTGGGAGGACCCCCGGTCTGGTTCAGCCCCTTCGGGTCCTCCACAGCAGAGTGGGAGTGTGGCAGCCGGGGCCGTCTGGAGAGCCCCCCTCCGAAAGTTCTCCTTTGAGATGCTTCACATCCCAAAGGGAACACAGTGGTGAGAAGCGGCCCCCATCCTGTCGGTCAAGCACCAAGGCAGGAACATAAAGCTGAGCTTGACGTTCTTGTGGCCCAGCTTCGTTCTTGCCCACCCTTCATTTCTTCTGGACCACCCTGGGCTGCTCCTTTCCAGCATGTTGCTCTTGGCGTTGGGCACTCCTTGGAAGGCAGCCGCTGCCCAGGGAAGCTGAGAGAGCCGCAGGGCTGAGCATCCCCTTCCGATGCAGAGATCCTGAGGCTGTGGGGATGGTGGCGGAGAAGTGGAATGCTGCCTCCTCCTTTCTGTGTTCATTGCCTCCGGATTGAAGATTGTGCAGGGACCCTCCCTGGAGGAGGAGGAGGAG